AATAATTGACAAAATTATATTCTAATAGAATGTTACTTAGATTGATTTTATTACGCTGACCCCTCCCCCTACCCTAGGTTCTAGATTCCGGTATTGCCAGCTCGATCTTGATTTCATATATAACCCATATCAGCAATACCAGCTCTAGCGAACAACGGCCATGTTACATATCCGTCAATCAAATAGAACTGCTCCACAGTGAATCTGCAGTTTAATGTCACCAGACCAAAATGAAACGTAAAACAGATTTAATTCTGCTTTATTTAATTTTATTTGCTGTATTTAAGATGTAAAGTGAAAAAATAAATAATAATCTTCGAAAAGAAAAGATATATCCAATGTTTTTGTATTTTTTGCTTATCAAAAAACATTTGCCCCTGAAGGTATGAACACAATACACGTGTTTGACGTGTGCCAAATTTGACAGCTACACTGTATGCCCGATACCACTATAGGGGCTGCGCAATGGCTACACCAAAATCAGTTTTTAAAGGAGAATGTTGCTTGTGTTGTGGCACTGACCTTCGGCTGCAAGATATTTTCGATTCAAACTTCTAACTCCGCGTCAGGCACTTGTCTCGTCTGCACGAGATAACTTCAGCGCAAGGCGGGAAAGGCAGCTCCAGGCGGCTTAACCTGTGACGTACGAGACTTATGACTTCCAATTATGGATCCAGGCGGACACAGCTGTGACGTGTGACTTCCAAATATGAAAGCGCCCCAGGCAAAATTTTAAAGAGGAACGCCCTCAGATTGTCGCTCTTCGTCAGAGCTAGTAAGAGCGACCCCATAACAAGGTACAGGTATATTTAACAAGCTAGCTTTTACGTTGCTCTGACACTCAGGGTACCCCCCCCCCCCTCTAGTGACTTTTATTTACTATTATAAATTGCCTACATCATAAGATCTCATTTTCTGCTAGTTTTCTATTAAACTGGTGGTGGGGGTGACGCCATTGCCATACTAACACAGGGGCTCGAAATTGATATTTCTGAGACTAAGAAAAATTCATACATTTCTAATATATTAACTTTAATCCTAAATATCTAACTAAATATGGACAAGTGTTTCCATGAAAGTAGTGTAGAAATGGCATTTTTGATTGTAATTAACTGCACAAGTTTTAGAATTATTTGTTTCTTGCATTGTTTAATATTATTGCAGCAAAATTCATACCTGGACTGTCATGGCCATTTGTGGCTATGGTGTCTTTTGGAATGATCAAGCAAATATAATTTGGCTGAAATCGTAATGAATAGCAATGATTTATATTTATATATAAGGTTAATTCAGTTTATCAGAAAGATCAAAAGAGGCATTTTGAAACAAAAATGTAACATATGATCGGTCAGCGTAGCCATATGTATAAACCATGTTTTGTGATGGCCACCTCGGGTTTCAGGTTTTTACATTGAAAAAAGAGGGTATAGGAGCAACAATCACTGTAGACAGTAATTATGCAATTTACATTATATCAGCATATCCAAAAACCTAACATTTTTTCAATTCCAATGCTGCTTTCAAAGTTTACAAAAAGCCACTTTTAGTAATAAGAGGTAAAATTAACCTTAGTCTGGCGCCATATGATTGGCTGCCATTTTGGCAATTTACCTATGATAAATTTTTCAAATAATTTTATTAATAACTGAGGTCCAAGTCTATTTTTTTAAGTTTGCAATACATTGAGTTTCATATATTTGAAATACCTGGCAATTTAAAGGTCTCAGAAATTATAATTCTAAAACCCCTTTGATACTATGGCAACAGCTGAATCTGTCACATTCATCACCTATTACATGGCAAACAAGCAGAATATTTTAACTTAGGGCCTAAGCTATCAGAAAATCATAGTTAATAAAAATTCCTAATAGGGCTGAGCTAGCTTGAGTTTATTAAAGTTTATACTTTGTATTGGAATAATGTATTTTATTATTTCATGTGTAAGCAAATTGCCGGCCATTTTGAATTTTGTAAGTCATAATGCAACCTAAATTAACACAAATTATTGAAAAGGGTTCTAGGCCCATATTCAGTACACCTAAAAATAATAAAGAATGTTATCTGGGGTGATTAATGTGGCATCTTTCCAGGTGGGACAGCCGTATGTAAAAGACATGTTTTGTGGCAGCTATCTTGGATTTTAGGATTTTACGTCAAAAATAAAGGTTACATCTTCAATAAGCACTTTAGGAAGAAAGCAGAGGCTTTTTGCCAATATGCAACATAAAAACACATACCGCATTGCAATTTCTAAATAATAAGATAAAGATTCAAATAAAAAATTTCCCAAAATTATACAAAAATGAGCAAAAATTGGCAACCATTTTGAATTTGCTGTTATCTTGGAACATGTTGATGATTGCGAAGTAAAGCACACTTCTTAGTTTACACATCTGGTATAATTTTGAATTCCATGATTTTAAATGCATTTGAAATATTTGAAATATTTTCAACCCCAGACATTACCATGGCAACAGCTCTGATACTCACACCCACCACCGCTTTAATGGCAAACAAGCAGAAAATAAAAGCTACGGGCCTAACCTTCCAGAAAATCATAGTTAACAAATATCACTAATGGGACGAAGTTGGTTGGAGATAATTAGAATTTATATTCTGTTGGAAGAATATACATGTATTATGTCCATTTTAGCCAGTGTGTATAAGCATATTGGCGGCCATTTTGAAATTTGAAATTCCTAATGTAATCAGAATTAATGCAAATTGTTTTGAAAAGTCCTAAGTTCGAATTCAGTTTATTAAAAGTAATAAAGAATGTAACTTTGATAATGAATCTGGCATCTTTCCAATTGGGACAATAGAATTTAAAAGACTTGTATTTTCTCCGCCAATTTGGATTTCAGGATTTTAGAACAGAATTAAAAGGTTGCATCTAAAACAAATACAGTAGGTCACAAGTATAGACTGTATGCTATTCCGGAGCACCAAAATATATTCCACATTCTTATTCCTTAATAATTGAATTAAAACTCAAATATTGAAAATAATTAAAACAACTCAAAAATTAGCAAAAATTGGTAGTCATCTTGAATTAACAGCCATTGGAAAATTTTGAGGATCGTAATGTATAGTGCAGCTCTTAAACTATACATCTGAAATGATTTTTAATTCCATTTAGTTAATACATTTAAATTATTTAATGTTTCAGAAATTTTAAGTTTTTATCTCAGGCGTTACCATGGCAACGGCTGTGGCGCACACACACACACACACACACACACACACACACCACCATTTTTATGGCAAACAAGCAGAAAATAAAAGCTCTAGACCTAAGCTATCAGAAAAAGTGAATGAAAATCACTAGGGGGGGTGTACATTGGCCCATAGACTATTACTGTTGATTAACGAATTCAAAAGGATAGAAATGTTACGGGTGTAGATGGGAGAGATCCTGTATGCAAATATAGACTGAATTATATTAAAGATATGGCCTACAAAAATTTTATTACTCAAACAACTGATAAGTCTATTGGGAAAAATGCATTCCATCCATGAAAAAGGGAAATAAAAATATCAGGACCTACTATAAAAATAAAGTTCAATCGTGTTTATTATTATATAGCATGTATAAAGCAATAACGGTCTGAAGCCTAATAAATATTACAAGTACAAGTACGAGTAGTGTTTTATTTGATCTTTCATAAATACATAAATCCATTTATTCAACTCTATGTGAATTCAATCAATCCATAGCTAAAATGTACACGAAAGTTGCTTTCATCACCGAAGCTTTTTGATAAGTCACTTTTAAAAATTATTGTTGGCAAGTTCTTATACTTAAAAGAGTAGAGTGATCAAAGTAGAGGGAAGCCACCGCGCATTAAAGGTAAATTAACGCTTGGACGAACATTTAATTGCGACTACGGTCAGCTTCAATCTTTATCTTAGCGAGCTAGGGTTAGGATCTTTTGTTAGCAGAAAGTAAGACACGATAATTACCCGACGGAGCAGGGCATGGTACTATTGTTAACAGAAACCAAACAGCGCATGGATGACAATGTTATTTCCATGGTTACCGCGCCAGGCTGTCTGAACAACCCGCAGCGACCCGCAAAGTAGGTAAGGGGATTTTCCGGCGGTTAGTTTATTCATTGGTTGGAAAATCGATAATTTGGTGTATAAAAAATCCCTTTAGAATTTGAAAAAGTAACATGATTTTCTGTATCAGTTTATCCATTGCGTTAGAGGTGACACTTTTGGTAGGGAGTATACAACCCAACGACAGGCGTATAGATCGCAATTTTATTTGTCCGTTTCGGGTTTCCAGTAATCAGCTGATTAAAGGGATTTAAACAAAATCGTGTATCGAAAAGGTAGCGTTAGCTCTTCCTCCCTGCTTCTATTTTCCTTGTTTTCACGGTCTATTAATACATTTTGTAATTCAGTCAAAGGGATAATATCTCTTCGTATGAGGTCTATATTTCACAATAAAAACATAGTGAATAACTCATAGAAATATAATATATTCGGTTTTACGACAAAAACGGCAGTTATAGCAGGGCAGATCATTAACAGCTGAGCATTTTGTAATATTCTCCGGAAGATTTAAAATATGAATCAATTTTTGTTTCCTCTGTATTTGGGCGTTAGGTGGCCATTTCTTCCATCGTGTAGTGTCAGTAAGAATAAAAAAGGTACACATGTAGGGGAGACCGGGGCTAGTTGGACCCCGGGGTAAGTTGCCCCCCCCCCCCTCCCACGTCAAGTCCTTTTAATAAAGTAATAAAGTTACTTTAAGATGCTAAATAATTTCATTTAGACTCCCTGTCGACGCTACGGTCACTTTACAAAATGATGTGATCAATTATTTTACCCCATAAATACATTTTCATAAAAATCCCCTACTTATCACGAAGATCGAAACAGAAAGTTGCTCGTTTGTAATCCTTATCTTGACATGTTTGCTCTTGATAAAGGGGTCACCTACTGTGAAAAGTGTTTATCGATTCCTATATTTAGGCGTGCTGTGTGCTGTAAATTTCCCAAACAGAAAGAAAATGGCGGTTTAGACATACATCTGCTACATACTTACATGTATTCAAACATGTCCATGGATTTCAGAATTATGTCCACGGTCATGTTATATCTGCTTTTCGTCCTGCTTGGTATAACCCTTGCTGAAGACATTTCGTCTGACGACCCGGAGGACCGTGTTAGAAGAGAGGCAGAACTGGAATACCTGTATTCTCTGCCCAACGACGATGCTGAGATACTAGTTCGTGTTGAGAAGGATGTTGCAGTTGTCGGTGCGGTCATTGCTGGTGGTAACTTAATACTGGGCTTCATCAACACCATACTGAAAAATGTGCCCGTAAGTGTGTGTGTTTTTTTTTTACTCTCTCTCTCTCTCTCGCAGAAAAACGCCCACACAGGCAAACAGAATGTGAGTAACAGAAAGTAGTTATTGTATCGGTAGTGGTTATTGTAGTCATGGTAGTTGATTAGATATAACTTTATATTGTCACTGTTTTATATTCTGATGAGCCGTAGGGCTTAAAGGTTTAATAAATTGAAATTGAAGAGAGGGGGAAGACAGAAGTTGACAGAAGTTAAAAGATCTCAGATAATAAATCATTCGGCTCTCTCGATACTTAAGTCCTGTTGCTCGTTCCATTTAAAGGCGTTAATGGTGCTGTCAAATGAATTCATGACTCCTGGGACATATTGAACTGAATAATCGACTAAAAGCTTGGATTCAAAGTGATATTTCAATACCCTCAATTTATTCGGTTAAAATTTCTTTTAGTTCAGAGCAAAGTAAAATATTGTTTATATTTAAACTTGGCTTGGCTTGCCCATTTTATTAATTTACTTTCTTCATTTTAGTTCATTTTTTTAAATAGGAAAACTCGCTTCTCATCAATTCATTAATAAAATAAATAGTTGATAAACAAAGTTGATATTATCCTAAGATACACTTGATTTTAGTCTCTGTACTGTCGGTCTAAAACAACACATTGCCTCCCACCGTCACTAACCTCCTTTCAGTGTTGATTTGAGGTGGACTCAGGTGTACCAGCACGTACGTGCTACACCCTCAACATAAGAACAGTATAACAAACAAAACAAGTCAGTACCCAAAATTGGCAATACTTACCATCATCTTCTACTGATATACAATATTCATACATTAATACCAATTACATGTACTTTACATTGAATTTCTACATCACTTAACATGGACATTATATATTGAAATATCACTCTTTCAGGATCCCATTACTCGCACTTGTGTTGTGAGTATACGTAACTTCCTGGATACAAAGGCCTTGGTGAATCCGGTAGTGTATCCTACGGCATCTAACATGAAAGGAATTCCACCAGAGAGAATCGGCCCAGAGGAAGCCACTGTGCTCGAGTTTGATCAAGCCGGAAAGGATGAAAAACCTGAAGGCTCATTTGTGTACAATATTGAGGGAACGGACCTTTATGTAACCGTTTTATTCCACGTGGTACCCCCAAACACCTACAACGCCAGAATATTTACTTATGACGTTGAGTACTCGGACGTCAAAGAATACCTACACCAAAGCATGAAAACTGTTGCGGATTTTTATCCCTTAGTAGCACACGACACCATTCAGTATGACATACGTCAAGAATGTGGTTACAAAGTGTCTGTCATCATGAATGACCACGAGAGGGCTACGATGCAAGTTGACGTCTATGATTGCCCGGATACTATTGACAAGACTGTCCTAGTCGTGACCAATCAAACCACCAATGAAACTATCATTGACCCACTGGGATGTGAGCCTGGCGATTTACCAAACTGTGGGTGCTGCCACAATATCTCCGGCAACTACACTGATTCTCTCTCGAGCTCCAACGCCAACTCTAATTCTTTGTCAATAGAACAAATTCTAGCTATAGCGCTATCACAACTAGTAGCAGTTTTACTAGTTCTGCTAATAATTGCTATTTTCTACAAAAGACACAGACGGTAGACTTTACAATACCAGTACAACGTGAAAAAATAAAAAAAAGTTACTAAAAGAAAAGGAAAAATTATTTTAGCAAACAATGTAAAAATTGTAACTTCGTCACTCACCATTTGAAGTTATAAGTAAAAAAAATATTCTTAGAATTTATTAAAAAGATAAATCTTGAGTTCCCGTTTAAAAGTAGTTCGATAATCCATCCTACGTGGTAGAAGTGCAAGTAAATTCCATTCCCTAGATGAAGCGACTTTAAAAGATTGTCACCATATGTGACGAGACGAGCCTTACGATAAGGAAATGCGTAATTGGGAATAACAGCTTTGAGGGTCTGCCGCTAGATGGCGTGGGGGTGAAAGCAGTCCTTCTAAAATCTCGCAGAATCTCGCTCACGGCTTTACACCACACCGGCGAGGTGTGGGCCATGGGCCAAGCTGTGAAAGCAGCGTTAGCATATACAGAAAAAGTTTAAAAAGAATCCGTGCTTTTATATGCAACCAATGAAATTGTTTGAGAATAGGGGTGATGTGACGGTAAATTTAAAATTGTAGTGTGCAGTCTAATTAGTCTGTTTCTCCAGAAAAAGGGCATAGAACACGTTTTAATGCCTTTTAGGCTTACGCAGTCGACAGTCAAAATGTAGTTTAACGAAGAGTCTTATTATGAAGATAGTTTTCAGTGTCGATTGACTCGTTTCTCCCGAACAATGGTATTGAACATATTGTCATGCTTTGTAGACTACATATATAACAAGCAGCAGGAACACATTTTGACAATGTGTTATGTACATTAAATAATATTGGAATGCCTGGGTGTATACTTAAACTATAATTGTTTTTTCACCGAAAAAGAGTTATTAATGTTCTTCATACTTGTAATTTTGTGCATTCAGTTTTAAATGTGATATAATTTTAGTTATTAATCAATATTTGCAAAGTTAAGCCATTTAGAATAATGAAAATAATAATGCAAAAATACAAACTTGGATCATTTTTCATCTTTTGTCTTTGTCATTCATGGAAATCATCAGTTTAACAAACGCATTTTCTTTCTTTCGAGTGAACTACATCCAATGTACAGGGGTACATATTGATCTAACGGAACTTTAAAGCTGAAAATATTTTTTCTTTTATGATTTCCAAAATCTCTATAATCTACAGAACGTTTGAAAAGCGTCTTATAGACATATGAGGTGGGTCGTAAATCGAGTGTCCCTGGTCAACAGATCCATTGAATTCAATATCACCACGAAAATACGCCCTAGCTTAATTAAATCCCAACTACCTTTGCGTTTGTTAGGTGTATTTCAGGTCAGTTAAGATACTGTAAAAGCAGCTTTCGAAAGGACAAAGAGTTCTGCTTTTTGCTGACGGTTTACAAATATTTGGCACATTAAGTGTGATTTTAACGGCCTTCAATATAATTTTAAAATATACACTTCTTTTAGCAAAATCTACAAACAGAAATTATACAATCACGAAAATGACAATGGCTCGAAACGGTATGGAGAGACACCTTATATACCATATCATCATGTAAAAATAAAGCTGACATTTAAATTGGACAGCCGTATTTACATCACGTTTTACTTTTGCTATCACAAGTTTAAATCATTTCGATAGATGTACCGGGTATTTCAGGTCAGTTGAGATACTGTAAAAACCGCTTTACGCTGTACGCATGTGTTGACGTTGGCGTGTCATGTGTCGGTCTAACAGGATCGATCCATTTCAGAGATTTTTCTCGTTATATTGCTTTCAACTTAAGCGACATAGATGTCAGGCACGCGTACTGAAGCTGTTAAATGATAATTAATTACCCCCTAGCAGCTTCAGTAGGCTTGGCAGACATCTACGCCGCTTAAGAGTGCACGAATAAACGCACATTAATTTTCGGTTTGCTGAGTTCACCTTTTGATTTTATAAAGAAATTAAGGAGCACTTGAAGTTTGTGTTACACTGCTTTTGAGACATACCAGATGAAACAATAGTATAAAATAATGTCGCTCTTTTTTATATATATAGCTTCATGAATTAGAAGCTGTTGCATTAAATTCCGCTGTAGATCTGACAAGGGAAACATGAACTTATCAGAATAATCGCAATAGAAACTTTTCTTAAATGTTTGTTATCGAAGAATTTATGACAAAGCAGTTCGCAGAATAGCACGCTTGTGTGCATACCCTCTGTGTTCAAACTTACATTAGGGTCATACAGGTATTGGCACAAAAGCAGGGAGTAGGCCTTTATAGTGAGTCACTTATTCAGGTACAGTGTATAACGATATTAATATCCAGGCAAGCCACGCACTGTAACCTTGACAAAGCGAAAGTAAGGCGTGGCTTAATAAGACATACATTGCAGTATGAATTCCAGGTTTATGTCCACGGTCATTCTGCTTTTGCTTTTCGTCCTGCTTGGTGTAGCGCCTGCTGACCACATTTCGTCTGATGACTCGGTGGACAAAGAAGCTTCTGACCGGGTTGTACGAGGAGCAGAACTGGAAGATAGTCCGCTCATAGAAGATGCTGAGACACGTGTCTCTGTCTCTTTCTCTCTCTCACTCTCATGCAGACAAACAAATATACAAAGACAAAGAGAGATAGCCTTAAAGAGAGACCGAAAAAGAAAAGGAAAACACTTTTCAGAATATGAGTCACTCGGCTACGCCAACTTTTCCAATTCATAGTCACATGTACATGTAGCTTCTTTTAATTTTAAATCTCTCTCACTCAACCTCTCCATCTCTCTCTCTCTCTCTCTCTCTCTCTCTCTCAACCTCTCTCTCTCTCTCTCTCTCTCTCTCCTAGCTATCTCTTTCACTCACCTCTCTCTCTCTCACTCACCCTCTCTCTCTCTCTCTCTCTCTCTCTCACTCCTAGCTATCTCTCTCACTCAACCTCTCTCTCTCTCTCTGATCTTAATCTACTGCTGCATGTACTACCTGTAGTCCAGATGCTGAATAGGTCATTTTTCAACAACATATACAATGATGTGGCAATGGCAATACAATGATCGACTTGCACATAATTTTCTCATAAAGATGTTGTCAAATGAATCCAAATGAATCTAAATGAATCCATCTGAATATTCCACATTTGCAGGTTTATAATTTATTCAGTGCAAAGCCAGATATTATAGGCCCCAGTCAAAATAGGGGACTAACTAGTCCAAGGGTCAACTATGGCGACCCACTACAAAGCTTGCAGTCTAATTCGCTAATAGACACTGAATAGATATCCCGTGGGGAAGAATTCAAGTGGGTCAGCCATTTTGTCACTCGGACTACTTAGTCCCCTATTCTGAATGGGGCCATTTATTTTCACGAATTTCCATTTTGAAACTTTGTATGCCGATTTTATTTATTTTTTTCGATTAAACCGTTTTTCGTCAATATATGAATTAACGCAGTTTTTTGTCCTTAGCTTAATGTTACAGGCAACAGAAATGTTATCATTCTCTATTAGTGTCAATATTATACAAAATAATGACTTTGGCAAAAGTCAGCTCGGGGATTTATGACCCGCAGCTAGCATGTTAACTCACCGACGCCGCACAAGGTTTTACTTTCTTGATATCTTATCCCAGCAAAATCTTCCATCCACCTGTGTTAATTGATGTCAGCTACATACACTGTACATAGCAATTTTCAAATGTGTCAAATGTCACACTTTCAGGATCCCGTTACTCGCACTTGTGTTGTAAGTATACGTAACTTCCTGGACACAAAAGCTTTGGTGAATCCGGTAGTGTATACTAAGGCATCTTACATGAAAGGAATTCCACCAGAGAGAATCGGCCCAGGGCAAGCCACTGTCCTTGAGTTTGATCAAGCCAGAGAAGATGAAGAGCCTGAAGGATCATTTGTGTACAATATTGAGGGAACGGACCTTTATGTAACCGTTTTATTCCACGTGGTACCCCCAAACACCTACAACGCCAGAATATTTTCATTTGAAGCCAAATACTCGGATGTCAAAGAATACCTACACCAAAGCATGAAAACTGTTGCTGACTTTTACCCCTTGGTAGTACACAACATCATTCAGTATGACATACGTCAAGAATGCAGTTACAAAGTGTCTGTCATCATGACTGACCACGAGAAGGCTACGATGCAAGTTGACGTCTATGATTGCCCGGATACTATTGACAAGACTGTCCTAGTCGTGGCCAACCAAACCGCTAATGAAACTATCGTCGACCCACTGGGATGTGAGCCTGGTGATTTACCAAACTGTGGGTGCTGTCACATTATTCCTGGCAACTACACTGATTCTCTCTTGACCCCCAAAGCCAACTATAATTTCTTTTCAGAACAACCAATTATGATAATATTGATATCACTGTCAGCATTCATAGTAATATCACTTATAGTAGCATGTATTTGTTGTGCAACATGCAGACGATAAACTTTACAACACAATGTCTACAAAAAGAAAAGGAAAAAAGGTTGAAGCAAATTATGTAGAAATTAAAACTACTTCGCCACTCATTTTAAAAAGCCATATATAAAAACTACGTTCATGGAACTTCTTAAATCGGTAAGTCTTGTGTTTTCTTTTAAAAGTATCCGGATAATCCACCCTACGTGGTAAAAGTGACGGTAAATTATATTCCCTAGATGAAGCGACTTTAAAAGAATTGTCACCGTAGTCAAGCCTTATACGGGAGGAAGAGCGTAATTGGCGGGGGGGGGGGGGGGGTCGTATGTTGATACAAGATCGCATAATTTTGTGGCCATGGACCAAGTTGTAAAAAGCAGCGTGTGTATATGGTAAAAGTTTTAAAAAATCCGTGCTCTGTAACCAGTGAAATTGTTTGAGAATGGTGAGGGTGAAATTGTAGTGTGCTGTCCATATACATGTAGACCTACAGTTACATTAATCTGTTTCTCCAGAACAAGGGCGTGCAACACATTGTAATCCTTGTAGGCTTTAGCAGACAGTCAAATGTATTTGAACGATGAGTCTTGTTATGAAGGTAGTTTTCAGTGTGTTTTTAGCTTTAGAACACAGCTGGACTGACTTGTTTTTTTTTCCAGAACAATGGTATGGGACACATTTTTAAGCTTTGTAGACTACATGTAAAGCAAGTAGCAGGAACACATGTAGACGATGTGTTATATACATTACATAATATTGGAACGCCTGTGTGTATATTTTCACTATAATTATAGTACTTTGAAAGAATTTTATTCAAAGATTTTTTAACCGAAAAGAAATGTACTTCCCGTTTCTTCATGCTTGTATTTTTGTGCAGTCACTTTCAAATGTGAAATAATTTTGGTGATAAATCAATATATGCAAAGTCAAGCCATTTAAAATAATGAAAGTTCAAATGCAAACTAGAATCATCCTTATAGACCATATCATCATGTAAAAATTAATTTGACATTTAAACTGGACATTCGTACATGTACATGTATTACATCACTTTTTACTTTTGCTATCACAAGTTTAAATTATATAAAGGGAGCTCTATATCAATTTGATATATCTATTGCAGGTCAGTTAAGATATTGTAAAAGCCGTTTTACGCTACCCTAGATTGCTCACTATAACTTTTCATGTATTGACTTTACAGTGGCCCTGAAGAATAGCGGCAATTTTGAGTATCTGTCTGCTTTGCAGTTTATCCGCAGTTGAATGCCATGAGTCCGAAATAAAAAGTGAAACAGATTTAATTTTGCTTAATTTAATTTTTGTTTTCTGTATTTAAGATTTTAATTGAAAAATGAATAATATACTTTTAAAAGAAAAAGACATTCCATGTGTTTTTGTATTTTATTGCTTATCAATAAACATTAGCTCTTGAAGATATAAACACAGTACACATGTGCCAAGTTGACAGCTACACTGTATGTCCGATACCACTATAAGTACTGTGCAATGGCTACACCAAAAATCAGTTTTTAAAGCAGAAAGGTGCTTGGGTTGTGACACTGATTTTTCCATTGCAAGGTATTCTTAGTTCAAAATTCAAACTCCGCGTCNGAACGACCCTTACCTTCTGGAAGATGTACCCATCATGGCTCCCCCATCCCACGGCAGGGTCTGTGGAGGGGACGCAGTTAATTCTTGGTTGAGAATTGATGGTCAGCACCCCTTTCCTGTTGATGGAGGCTAGTTCCGAGCTGATTAGGCTGGTCTCCAGGGTGACCTCGTCATCCTCCCATGGTAGCCTGGTAACCTGGGGTGCAGATAAAATAAGGAATCTGAAGAACTTTTTTGTGTGTGCGTGTTGAAAAGAAAATATGGTTTGGAGACCCTCCGGAAAATGATACATCTTGCATGTAGAAAAAAATGTGGTTTTTAAATCCCCACTGGAAATGATATATTTCGTGCTTGCAGAAGAAAAAAAAATAAACATAAAGAAGTAAAACCCTGAAGTTAGTGAATATGCAAGACTAAATCTTGTCATTAAAAATGTGTTAGATGTGACAGTGTTGAGATCAGATTGTATTCTAGATTTTCACCTTCACACCATCGTCATATGCCTCCCCAGTGATATAGTGGTAGAAAACATCCCAAACATCCTCTTCACTATTCAGTTCTTTTTTCCACATAGACATCAACTCTTCATGTGAAGATTTACTGGTAAGATAGAATGGGTAATGGTCCTTCAAGGCCCCAAAGGCCGCTGAGGATGAATCTCCCCATCTGCCATTAGGGAAATCCTCCCAGTCTGATGTACGCTGAACATAGCTCTTCTGGCGCGCCCTCCAGAATATTGGCCTCACGTCCTCCATACAGCGGATGTGATTGGCCGTTGGTTTCCATGGCAACATTCTCTTTGGTTCCTCACACCACATTCCAAGTCTCTTCAGAACAGAAACAGTGGCCACCTCTCTGTTTAAGGTGTAAAAATGGAGGCCAGGCGCTCCTTTTGCGGCAAGGATTTCTGAACACATTCTGTATGCAATGTCAATACCCCAGTTCCTGATTGCCTCATCGTTGTCTTTGATAGGAATCACCTCGTCCAAAATTTCTTGTGGGATCTCCATTTTAGACAAACGTGTGATATGGCGGAGTGACTGATAAGACTGAAGAACAAGTTTAGATAGGAATAAGATATACAAGCCACATGGACAGATTCCACTTATCAATGATTGGGGGGGGGGGGGCAGTTAAAAACACAGCTATAAAATTGTTGATTGAAATATATAAATATGTTAGGAACAGAAGTGTAAATAATTTCAGACTTGATTAATTCTAAAACTACAAATACTCAAAGTAAAGTACTTATTCAAGTGAATTACACAATTAGCTAAATGAATTTTTAACTATGAACGTGCTAAGTTGTTTATTAAAAAATACAAGTTAATCAGATATATGACAAAATTGTAAAACCACAAATGGACAATTATTATGACTATTATTATCATAAAGGTTAAAACAAGCCTATATATAAGTATGACCCTTGCTCACCTGAAATGGCATTATTCCTGGCAGTATAGGAACTGTAATGCCGATATTCCTGCAGTCCTGCACATACTTCAGGAAAGTCTTTGACTGGAAAATCAGCTGTGTGATTATAAAGTCTGCTCCAGCATCTACTTTCGTTTTTAGGTTCTGAAGGTCAGCTTCATAGGATTCGCAATCTGGATGCCCACTAGGGTAACCTACAAGATGAAATGAAAACTGTGATGATGGATTTTACTATTTACAGTACATTGGACATGACAGTGTATGCTAAAATGTGTCAGGTGTGACGACCAGTTGGATGTGACATTGCATTGTGTGTGGCAGTGTGAATTTGTCTCTCAGTTTAAGGTATGACAATGTGTTAGGTGTGCCAGCCAGTTGGATGTGATATTGTAGGGGGTAAAGATAAAATAACTGGGCATGCCTGTGTGATTTGGCATCTCAGTATAAGGTGTGACAGTACGATGATTGTAACTCATGTAACAATTATGGATGTAATGGGGTATTTTGGTATTGAAGTGTGATATGGACGCAACACTGCTTTCTCACCTGCTACACAGATAACAAAATAGTCTCCATAGTGCAGCCTGATAAACCTGACAAGATCTGTGGCATAGTTAAAACCATCTGGCTCTGGTTTCCACTCCTCGCCAAACTTGGCATCTAAAGGGTTAAAAAAAAGGAATTGTATACGGTGTTAAATAATCTCATTCATAAAGATATTATTTTCTTGAGAGTATAATCTAACAGTGCATTATAATTTGGAAAATAGACATGCAATTCTAAAAAGTTTAACTGTATTAAATATGACAGAAAAAATTGACTCAAATCTATAATATTTTTTCAAAAATTTAGTGCGACATAGTGGGAAACAGTACATACCATTGGTAAATTTATGTGCCTTTGGAGTGTCGGTGTGCCAAGTGTGAGAATGTGTTAAGTGTGACAATGTGTTAGGTGTTACAGTGAGTAAGGGGTGATAACATATCAAATATCCATTCATTTTAATTTTATAAAATAACATATCATGTTTACCTCCTCTCAGAGCAAGAATATTCCTAATACCCAACTCCTTGGCTCTTTCCAGCTGATTAATCATGGTTGCCTTGGACGCACCGATGCAAGTCAGGTGTAGCATGGTTTCCATGCCAACGTAATTCAACATGGTGCCTGCAATGGCTGTGGAGCTGGTGTGCTTGTCCGAGGTCGGGTCTCCCGCAGAGTGCCATGTGATGTCACAGAAGAGGGGACCTCCCAGCAACATGCGCTCAAGCCTGAAAGAGAATACGAGAGACTTCTGGGGGTGTGTTGTGCCAGCTGTAAAAGCACCACCAGGGGGGCTGACATCATCAAGACTTGTCATGCCACCTAGGAAAATTGACCTAAACACTCATTTGCACTCAAGACCTTATTAAAATTAAAACACTGCCAGACTAAACATACTGCCATACTTAACACAAAAGTAACAACACTGAATAAGCAATCTTGTAAAACTGTCATAACTAAAACAGTGTTCAGGAGTTGACAATAAGGTTTTTAGACCATCCTTTGGGCAAGTGTTCCCCATTACTTGGCCAGAAAAATTCCACTACCCCAAAAACATTTTTATTTGCTGATAAAAAGATTTACTAAATTCTCCTGCCCCTCTCCTCATCAAATACAATTTTTACGTTATTTTCATGCCAGTCGGGTGATGAAAAAATCAGGCAACTTTGTCAAAAAAAAAAAAATAAAAAAATAAAAAATAAAAAAATAAATAAATGAATAAAAAAAAATAAAAAAAAAAATAAATAAAAAAATCAACTGCCCATTCATTTAATTATGTAGGATGTGACAATGATAACAGATTGCTTCATGTGTGATAATTATGCATAGCATACCTGGCAACCAAATTTACAGCGCCCTCTTCAGTCTTTGGAGGAAAGAATTCCAGTGAAAAAAATGGTTCGTCATCTGCAATCTTAGCTTTGATACGGTCCATGAGTGAGATATATTTGTATGGCAGGAGGCCTGGAGACTCAGGTCGTGAGGAGTTTGGAGATGGTGTCGCAGGGGTTCCATTTTGTGGACTCCTGTCTGGAGAGTGCTGAAGATCTTTCATCGTGATTTCTAACCTGAAAAATTTTTTTAAAAATGTTTTATTGTACTGTTATTCATTAAACACATTAAGAATTTATTTAATTGCAAAGATACTATCTTTGTTAATTCAGAGCTATTCAAATTTCATTTTTTTAGTTTGAGAGGACGGTATTGTTGTGAGTGAAGAAATATAATTATTTAGCATTTTGACTTGATTTCTAGAAAACTGACAATATTAATATACACAACAATGCTGGTTAATATAGACATCAAATTTGGGAAACGTTGAAAAAATAAATGCAGAAAAAAATCATTTCTATTTGAGTAAAAAAGTTAAATATTCTTTAAGGCAGATTATGACTGCACTTTTCACTCAAATATTTATCACACATTCCTTTCTCTAAAGTAACTTCCTTTTTTCTCTCTTTCACAAAAATTTTTTGTGGTTATAATTTTTAGGGAAGTCGTGGGACAAAAGAGACAAAAGGGGGGCAGGTTAGAAAAAACTTCATTTTACCATGTTAGGAAATAATCACATGTAAGGAAATAATTAGGGGGACTGTAATGAATGATCAAATATTACATTATATAATGCTTTGAAAAACAATAATTTAAAAAAAATGGAAAAAAAAATGGAAAAAAAGGAAGTGTTACATCCATGAAAATTCATGCCATCTTCATAAAAGTAATTAAGAGCTCTATAAATTCAAAAATGACACTTCAGCACCAACATCTATTACAACTTTTTCCTGAAGTGTGTTCACTTGCGTACATACTTTTTTAAACAGATGAAAGGTGAAAGTTTAAGTTTTTTTTTAAAATAGTGATTGTAAAAAAAAAAATAATAATAATAAAAAGTACAATAATTGTAATTATATTGTAACTGATCCTATCATTATTAAAAAACTTAATAATTTTAACTCTGCAGAATGTTTTTTTCCTGTTGAATATCAATTTCATTTTCAACAAAAACAAATATCTGTAGAGAGAATAGGTCAGCTTACCAAAACATGCGAACCCTGGGAAAAAAAATAATAAAAAGAAAAACAAAGCCATGACACAAAAAATTAATGCAAACAATAAAAAATAAAATTATATTGCAAACCAATTAAGTAGTAGACAATGCCTGCCAGTCCTACCGTATTATCTGTTAGCGTGCCGCAGCGTTCTGCAAAAATTTGATCAACTGCCCGGGTCCTTCTGGCAACCGTGCAAGATTACAAGAGGACGGACTTATGGAAAAACTCGGCTTATATACTCAACGAATGACCTCTCAAAATGGCCGCTAGATGGCAGGAAAATACTTTCCTTACAGGTGGGTACAAGAAAAAGCGCCACCTATATCTCTTGAAACCAGGTCATTTTCATTTAGGTCATCCAATCAGCAGTTTGTTATCACGTGCGTTATTAAAAGGCTTTTAACATTGACCTGTCTGGGTCACAATAGTGGCCTGGAAAGAGCAATGAACTCGTCCAGTCCAAACGTTACGACAAAAGATGTAACACCGTACACTATCACACCAGTGTCTTGTGACAGTACAGACGGATGCGATTTACACGTGCAACACTGCACGGCTCAGACATTAGACTTAAATTGTTAAAACGACCTTTGTACCCTCTACAGCAGTAATTATTTATGCCTGTAAGTACCTGCACGTAAGCACCTGCACGTATTAACATATCGGCACACGAATATGGCATGGTTTTGGCCTTTGGGGTATTTATATCACCTGAGAACTAAATGAATTCTCATGACATTTGTCACTACTACGTCCTACCACTGCATTCATTCCAACAGAAGCGACTCTTTGCGCGTACCGAAAGTTTTATTTCCAGAATCTGCTTTGACATAATGTGTGTGAATAATAGAGTGATCGAAAAAAAATCCTCATGGTTACTTCACGTAAAAAAGTAAAGGAACCCCCATTTGTAAGATATCCATTAACCGTAACAAACAAGGGTGATATTCAATAGCTTTGCTCTAAAGTTTATCGACACACGTCAACGCTGAAGATGACAATCCCTTTGGTACATTTCCATTGGTTCTGAGATAATGACCACACACCACGTCTGCCGATTGTTATCTGCCCTGAAGTGCCCGTATTCAGCGTGTTAGCCACGATGCTCCCAATTGACCTAGATATGCTTGTCTAACCCCAGCTTCACAGTCAGTAAGCTTAATGGAAAATTCCAGGAGGAAAATTACAGGACATGCATTGTTTTAAAGCTCATGTAGTTAAAACATTATTTCTTCAAACAGCGAAAAGAAAAACAGCATAATGACAGCGTGTTATTGTTTTGTACATTTTATAGGCCGCATTTTATAGCACCCTCGGTACATACGCTATATAGTTATTTACGCGTAAACTCTCTTATTAGAAATAACTTTTTAAAAACAGTTGTCGAATATGACGGCAATTGACCATTTTGTTTTAATTAATAAGTTTACCCCATGCTTAATTCCTTAAAGCCACAACTGTTAATTCATTTCAAAAATCTTATAAAAATTAAGGTATTCTCAAAGATAAGTTTATTCTCATAGTTTCACTACTTTGAAATTTAGAGATGTCATAAAACTGTCTATACATATGTCAACTATTTCCATCCACATTTTTATTTAATTAGAAACAAAATAAAACAGCAAAAAAATGTTCCCAATGTCAGATGACGACTAACAGCAGGTGTAAGACCAATATACATTTGGGTTAAAGTATGATTTTAACAACAACCTGATGCGTCTTGGATAAGCTTTGCTACTTATGACTGAAATAAAAAATGTCATAAATACACCAATCTAATGTTAACCAACATTAATTTTCCACATTAATATAAGATAAATGGCAACATACACTGAACATTGAAAATGTGCTGTAATGAGGCATCTTATCTCATTGCACAAATGCCTATAAACATACAAAACAAAAAGCAGCAATAATTAATGATATGGAAGAGATGACCTAGATATATAACAATATAAAGAGGATTTGAAAACTTTTTTCCTTTGTGCCTATGGAATAGAGCCATATTTTTGCTGAACTCAGCAGTGTCTTCAAGTCATTTTTTGGTCTCTTTTTATCGCTTGCATTCCTCACAAATAATTCATCGAATCTTCTCATCTTTACATCATTTAACTTACTGGAAAATTTATTTACTTTATTACCACAATTTGGGTAGTAAATTGCATTCAATATTCATAGGATTTGAATTTTTAAAAAATACACTTAAAGGGGTGAAACCATCTGATGGGAAAATTTACTGTTAAATAGCCCTCTTCAGGCTGGTGTAAATATTGCTTTTTAAATCAAGTTCTGTTCCTTCTCCAATGTCCAGGCAGGCTAGAATTCACTTGTTTGCTTGTTGAACCTGTGAACCAGCCACTTCTAAAACCTTGTCTCCAGCCGCTGGAAAAAAAGTTAAAAGTAATTACTTAATAAATTTGAAACAAAACTAATAATAAAAAAAACCTTTATCAAATCTCCTTTCTGATTAAATCTGAAAAAATGTCTGAATTTTGCAAAGTTAACTTGATTTATGTCAAAGTTAATTTTTTAGTGAGAAACTGTAAATGAAAACTCATTTAGTACAAAATTCAAATCAACATAATAAAGCATTACATTAAGTGTGACAACAGGTAAAACGGACTAAGTGAGATGAGCTGAGTGTGTTAGTTGAGACATAAAACATTTGGCTGAGATAAGAACAGAGATACCAGTTTTGTTTGGTCAGATAATCAGTACATATTTGCGCACCTTTATTTGTTTGTTGAACTGCATCTGTTTGCAGTTCAGTATGAAGTCAATGTTATGGCTTTGAAACAACCCAATATCTCATGAAACCATATTAAAAAAATAGAATTTTTAAAGAATATATAAAGATCAGTTAATTTGTTTACAATACAAAAATAACTAAGCTAAATAAATGCATAATTGTTGCAGAATTTAATTTTTGAATGGAGTCAATGGTAAATTTGGCAAAAGATGGTGAAACATTTTATGCTTTCTCCAGCCAAAACAGAACTTTTTTACATTTGGTAACATTTCACCATCATGCTACGTTGAGCTCAAAATATGTGTCTTAACAAACTAACCTATTGTCCCAGAAACTTTTTCAAACTGTTTTAAACTTGCACTGGAATTGCTCTGTAGATAAGCCTCCTCAGTGGGAGTCAACGACTCTCCTAATTTTTTCAGAGCTGTAAGAATTTCCACAGACTGTGATGTGGCTTGCTCTGTGGACAACTTCCCAATCTTTGCATCTCTGTCTAACTGTATATATATAAAAAATACCATACCATACTGTTATTATACACATTTTCAAAACAAAAAATAATGAACATTAAAAAATATAATAAATATAAATTTTGAAGACACTGAAGAGGATGCAAAGTGTTTGTAGGCAGAGTAATCATCTATCAACAACCAGATATGCATTAATGATACATATATAGTAAAAACCATGTAACTTACTGTAAATAATTATTAATCTCATCCCTATTTTACTGACCTCTGCCAGTCTCTGACGTAGTTGCCCCGGCTGCTTCTTAGCAAACATTCTGATGACCTCGGGGGTCTTGAATGCCTCACTGATTGCTGCCTGAAATCAGTAGTACACCACTAAATCTAATGTCAATACTACTTACATTGTATATACACTAAATTAACTCTGTTTTAAAAACCTCATGTAGCTTTCAAATTGATTCACATATTAGAATATTATGTAAAAAGATAAAATACAAATAGTGTGTGTGTGTGTGTGAGAGAGAGAGAGAGAGAGAGATCGTAAGAGAGAGAGAGGAAGAGATCGTAAGAGAGAGAAAGATGGGAGTAGAGCACATGCAAACTTATATAGCTAACTCCACTGAACACATTTTCTCCTGACCACTGGTACATACCTTACATTTTACCATAAAAACATATAATTACAGTCATTACCTGTATAGCCAACTGCATGCCATTCAATTCATCCACTAAACTCATATTTCCCTTCATCATATTCTCCAGAGAGTCCTGGAAATCTTTCAACTGTTCTATGGTGTCATTTTTGGTCTCTTCATATTCATCTGCATCCAGGTCTTCTCTGAAAGTTAAAGAGCAAGTTAGAGCCTTTGAATGAAATGCTTTTTATCTTATTTTTTTTATCACTTTTATTTTTACTGTATGTTACATGTACTAACTTCAATGACAGTTACAACCATTATGGGTACTAGATTGCTCCTATGGTTACAGGATAAACATCAAATGATATGCCGAGATAATTTATACTAACTTGGTCTGTAACAGCAGAATTCTGGCTTTGAACAATCACTACAGAATTATTAGCACTTCTATTTACACTTTCTGATTTGTTCTATAGCAGTATGTCATTAGCACAAACAAATTTAACCTTTATCAGAAACTGTAAATAGGACATGAGAATTATTGCTACAGTATATTCTGCTTGTATATTATGGTGCACTGTGCAGTGTATGAGTTTTACAGACAAATCTACTCATGTGCCAGCCCACAATTTTTATGACAATCAAAAAAATTAAAAAATAAATAAAATAATGATAATAATAATAATAGTAATTGTTCACTAAAAACAAAACTGCATCTGTGCATTTTCTTTCAAACACTTACTTGCATTCTTCCAAATCTTTCAGCTGCTGAATCAATCTGTCTAATTGTTCTTCTAAATTTTGTTTTAATTTGGTAGTCTCTGCCTTTCCTCGGGAAGCCATTACATGTTATAGGTCTGAAAGTATAATTAACTTAGGTGTGTACAAAGAGTATGTGATTAACCTAAATTCAATGCCTTGCTCTTATTTAGTATGCTTTAAGTGACAAGTTAACATCTCAGCTGAGTGAAGAACATGTATTTGCTAACAATTTTAAATGTTCAATAATGGACTCAGCAGTGAGGTGAGCCTGGGGCTACAGCAAATGATTAATGATACCTTTTGCACTACATGTATTTTCTTTATCTTTCTTTCTTCCCAATGTTTATTTAGTAGGTGGAATTTGATAATTTAATACTTCTAAATTTTGTTTCTGTAGCTAGTGTTAATCTTTGAGGTTTTACGCGTGTGTGTGAATATGTAGAGAGAGAGAGAGAGAGAGAGAGAGAGAGAGAGATTTAAATACATATGAATTCTACTTACTATTTCTAATGTCGGGTTTAAATTTGTTAAATAAGTTTTCAAATATTGTATTTTATCGTTTATACTAGTGCTGGTGCAGGTCCACCCTCCAAAGTCCAATAAATTAGGTCAATATCAACAATGGTCTCTATCCAATTACGACAATGACAGAGTCGACAAGTTGACCTATTTTTACTGTCAGAAATCGAAACTGGTAGTCCCTTTTAGGTGTTTCTTTTAGGGGGTGCTTTACTTAATCGTGCGGAGTTACACTGAGATTGAATCAGACATGAAACACACAATGATAAGCTATTGCAATGATCACTAAATGGTAATTTAGTTTAAAACTAACTGCAATTGTAAACTACTAGTACAGACTACAAATAAATGGGCACCTTTATGCAACAACGTTCTCCTACTGAATTCTGTATCTTTTAAAGACAAACACTATTCAAACGAAGTTGTGCAAATGGAACGCTGGAAGATCGGTTTTATCATGAAAGGGGTGGACTGGCAGATTTACAGACAAGCCTTGCAACCCTTAAACACCTGACCCTGTAAAATATTTCTGGACAATTTTATCACAAGTTCAACCCAGTCATGTATCATGTAGGCCAAGTTTTTTTTTCAGAGCCGTACTCAAAGTAGGCGGGGTATATGCCCACTTAAATAGTTTAATGGACACAACTTCTTCCGTTTTTTTTTTTTTTTTTAATTCTCTAACAAGAAACATTTTGCTAAATATTGCTATTAGGCATTTGGTGATAATGAGCATAAGTGTGTGTGTGTGTGTGTGTGGGGGGGTAACCGGCAACGTTTTATTTGCCTTGCCAATTTTTTTCCCACCCACAAGGTCTTTTCTGCTTTATTTTTTTAAAAAAAATTACACCTTATTAAATTCACTACTCAGGTATTTAAAAGCAACTTTAAATTGCTAACAAGTTACTGTACAGGTACATTAGCTACATGTATGTGGTACTGGTACAGCAAATGTGTTTGTGATCTGCACCCAAAGCGTATAATCAGAATACCTTTCAGGAATCTTGTCCTGCATGAATTTTCTTGTTTTTGTTTGCTTCAAATTAAGCAGTACTTTATAGTTTAATTGCATGCACTCAGTGTTAGAAATTAAGGCTGGACCGTCTGCCCGGGGCTGACAACTTTCAGAACGGGCTAAGAAGTTTTCCCACCCGGCAGACATTCAGTCCAGCTACTTTTCAAGATGGCTGGACTTTCGGTCCAGCAACTTATTTTCCTAAGAGGCAAACACTGCATGATGCACTTATTGGCATTTAACAGCTTTAAAAAAATTGAAAGTAACAATAAACAACCTGTCAATGGAATTCTTATTTTAAATTTATTATTGCTTGATAAAATCACATATAAGGCATTTAAACTTTATTTCAACAAGCCTGTTGTTCCAAGTCTTAAGCACATTTCCTAAGTCAACACTGAAAACGGGGCTTTTCCCACTAGTATATTTCCAGCACATAACAATAAACTAATTTCTTAATTAATTGTTAAGATTCTTTAAGACACAAGTGAACTGAATTGTATTTCAACTGAAATGCTTGGCAATAAATAACCATCTTATATTTTTCTTAAATAATTTGATCAAGGTCTGTTATCAAATTCATACCTCAATAAAATAATCTATATTAATGATCCAGAATTATGTGTGATGTATTAAATATGCAAATTTTCTTATGTGAAATTTCTTCCAGCAAAACAGGAGACATACACAAGTAATAATGAAACTAAATACAAAGCAAAAATTAAACACAAAAACCTCAAGTTTCCTAAATTTCAATAAGTAACAAGCCCAAAAATAAATAAAGTACACTTTCTTCAACAAAACATTTTTCACAGGCTTGGCTATAATCAACTTTCACTAAATTACATTTTAAATTCAATAAACACCCTACACACTCATTTGACCATTTTTAAACAGTCCTTTCCTGCCTCATGAACATTTCAGGCAAAACTGTTACATTTTTAGGCAGTACTATCTATTAGTCTGCGGATCGAATTGTTCTAAATGCTCCCAAAAAGATAGTTACATTAGTGAATAATACACCTTTTCCTTCTTCTAGATAGATTTGTCTACCATACAGCCTCCATAACATTAAAAAATTTCAACATATTTTCACTTACTTTTTCATTGCAAGGTTTAATGACTAAATTAGAGCTTTTTGACCCCTTAAAACAATTCCACATATGAAATTCTAAAATTCTACAATACTAACATAGTTGGTTATACATCAAAGCATAACTATTTAGTACACTTTACCATGAAAAACCTTGCCTTTGGTACAGTAGTAATTATGGACTTTCAAATTATATCCTGCTTCTTGGAAAAAAATGGAAAAAGTTCTAGAAATGTTGTAAGCAGGCTACTTAGTTAAGACTAATGGCAGCAATTAAATAACTTGAAGGAAGAACAAGAATGCCACTGCACACTAGAGTGTCAAGTCCAGGGACAAGGCCTTCAAATTAACAATCAGAAGATTCAAGAGAACTTCACATATCTGAACTACCTAGAAATGACGATTAGTACCGAGCTCTCAACATGTGGAAAAATACAGAGAAGAATACGAGTTTTACAAGCACTAAGCAATTAACACAGAAAGGTTACCCTTCGAGGACAAGAGACAGACTTTTTTACAAAAGGAAGAGAAAAGGCAGAGGGCTTCAAAACTATAGAATTGTAGTACCAAATATCACTTAAACAATAGAGGTTACCCTCAACTAGAACGGTGTTCTCAATTTTAGTAAGGGAAAAGAAAGAGCACCTCAGGTTAATGCAGACAAGCAAAAGGAGCGAGGCACCTCGTGAAAACTACATTCTCTTTACGAATATCTTCACCTTAATAGTGGTTTAATCGATTCCTTTTCTTAGTAAGCCTGAAGAAAGAGCAACTGAGATGCCCCCCCCCCCCCCCCCCANCCCGGACCCCACGCGACCCTTTCAAAGCCCCCCCCCCCCCCCCCCCCCCATCTCATATTTCCCCACCACTCCTTTACTCTTGGAGAGCAAGAGGTGTCATTTATGTTAAAAGAAAGAGTTGTGGAAAATTAAAAAGTTTTTATATTTAGAGCAGTACAGGCTATAAAAGGGTGGTCTTGTATCATTTCGCACAAAAATGGCTAATGAGCAGTTTTTTGATGAATTGAGAGAAAAATTACACAGAAAATTGCATAGCACACAGGAGGGATACTGTTGGCTGTGGACTGGGGGCACCAGTTGTTCTGGTGGGGTCTGTTATGGGTGATGAGGGTTACATTCCTTGGGGCCAGCCACTCCATTACATTACTGTAGAAGCGACAGTGTGGCATTTATGCTAAAGGAGAGGATTGTAAACATACCGCGAGGGACAGAAGTATAATCCACCTGTGTTGACTCACTCTGTGCTGTAACTCCAGAGCCTCATGGAATCAACAATAATAGACTACATTGTCGCAATGTGGGATGTGCCTTGAACAAGGAGAAAAGCCTGAAAAAAATTATTTTTGGAGTACCACATACACATGTCAACATTAAGAGGCATATCTGAACCTGACAAGCTAGGATCCTTATCCTCAAGCTCACTACAGAGCCTCAGGATTTGGAGTTACCGGTCACAAGCAGGGCTAAAAGCTGGAGTGAAAAAAGCAGCTTGGCCCCCCAGGGCCAACTCCAGATTTGACAAAAAAAAAAAAAAAAAAAAAAAGTAAATGACACATTTTATAATTACACTTTTTTTTTCTTAAGGTATTTGTAACAATTTTTTTTCTTAAGGTATTTGTAACAATTTAATGGTTGATGTGAACTTCCTATCAGTATATCTATGCCATTGTTTTTTTTAACTAAATTTTTTTTTCCAGCAACCACGATCCTGCCTAGGTCTGAAGATGTGGAAATGGTGGACATACCCAGCCCTGCACAGATAGCACCAACAGCTGCAAAACCAGTGTAGAAGGTTGCAAAGGAGGCAAGGTCTGCAGTCATTCAACTTGGCCTGGATGTCACCGACACGAAACAGCTGCTGGGACATCACAGGCTGCAGTTTGGAAAATACCGGAGGTAGACCTTCCAGTGGCTGGTCGAGAATTTCCTGGGGTATGCTGCCTACTTGGCAGAAAGTCTGAACAGGGAGACTCACACCCTAGCCTACTGAGTGTGAACAAGTACAAGCTCAAGGAAAATATTTTCCTTTTAAATCTTTGTCATATTATTGTGTTTGGTATTGAAAGTAATGCCCATTGCATACAGTTAGTTTTCTGCACCCCCCC